GTGTGTGTGTGTGTGTGTGTGTGTGTGTGTGTGTGTTTATGTTTATGTATGTTTATGTGTATGTTTTGCCAGGGATTATTGACCTGTTGATTAGCATGTGTGCTGTAGCATTGACTTGACTAACACTGAGCTACATAACTGGCCTCCTACCCTAACTTTTCACTCTCTTTAATCTTTCTATGTAGCCCTTCCCTGGCCTGATAACTATGTAGCCCAGGCTAGCCTCAAATTCTTGACAGTTGTCCTAGTCAAGCATGTCTAGATCCTTTTTTTTTTTTTGGTCTTTTTGAGACAGGTCTCCCTCTAGCTCCAGCTTGCCTAGAATTTGCTATGTAGACCAGACTGGCCTTGAACTCACAGAGATCCACCTGGTTCTGCCTCCAGGTACTGGGATTAAAGGCATGCACCACCAGATTCTTTCCAGAGGCCTTCTAACCACCTATTGTTTATTTTCTATAAATATCTTAGACTAACCAAGTCTAAAACTGAATTTATCATTTCCTTTCTCTACCCTATCCTTTCTCCCCTCATTTTGTTTTCTTTTCTGTGTGTATGTGTGTGTACACAGTGGTCATTTAGCCCAGGGCTTTGGGCATACTGGGCAAGTGCGTTAGCACTGAACTAAGTAAATATTCAGTCTCATCTTTGTAAGCAGCATTACCCTAAGCTGATTACTCTAGTCAGAGACCTCATAGCTCACACTGCTGCTGTTTTTTAGTTGTTTTTGATTTTTGTTTTTTCCTGAGACAGGGTCTCCCTGTAGCCCTAGCTGTCCCGGAACTTGCTGTGTATACCAGGCTAGCCTTGAACTCACAGAGATCTGCCTGCCTCTGCCTTTAGATCCCTGGGATTAAAGGTATGCTTCACCATACCTGCCACACTGCTGCTTCTTGCCACACATTTCTAACTAGTCCATTTTTTCTGTATTCTCATTTCTGCTATAAATGAAACTGTTTTTTCACCCCTACTGTTGCAGAGATCTCTGCTGTCTCTGTATGTCTTTAAACTTATATCTGTCTTTATCCTGCCATCAGAGTAAATTTCCTTTGACTGAAATGGTCATTTATTTGGCTAAAATTCTTCCCATTCCTTAAAGATACAAAATAAAGTGGCTTATACTAGTAGTCCCAGCACCATTGGAGGCTGAGGCAGTAGAATCGCTGCCAGCCTGGGGTACAAAGTAGCCAACAAAACAGAGAAAGATTTTGCATGGCATACATGGTTATTTAGGATTAGGTTCTTGTTGTCTTTCCAATCTTACTTCATTGGCCTCCGTTTGCTTTTTATATTCCAGCTATACCAAACTGCTATAGTTCCCTGAGCATATCAAGCTAGTATATGTCCTGGTATGTATGTTTTCCCTGCTTTGGCTTCCAGAACCATAGTAATGACTACTATATGTTGAGTGCTCATTATCCACTGAACTAAATGCTTACTTATATATTCTAAAAATAAATCTTGTAAGTGCCATATGAGGAAAATGAAAATTTACAGATGAGGAAACAAGGTGAGAGATATTATGTAAGATGTGCAGAATTGTATATGTAATAATGATGGAACTATGTTTTTTTTTTTTTTTTTGTAAATACTTTCTTGATTTTTTTTTAATGTGTATGAATGTTTTGCTTACATGTATGTAAGTATATCCATGCATGCAGTACTTACAGAGACCAGATGAGGGCATTTGATCCCCTGGAAGTGGAGTTACAGATAGTTATTAGCTGCCATATAGGTGCTGGGAACCAAACCAAGATCCTCAAAAAGAGCACCTGGCTAGTGCTTTTAACTGCTGAGCCATTTCCAGCCTCCCTTTTCATTTTTGAGATAGGATCTTGCTATATAGCCCAGGCTAGCCTTGAACTTATTTCCTTCCTTAGACTGGGATTGTAGATGTATACACCCACATCCAATAGGAACGAGGATTTAGATTCAGACCTTTGAACTCTAAAACACGTGTATACACTTGATCTTGACCTAAGTGCACTCAGCTGCTGAGCCATCCCCAATCATCATCATCTTTTTTTTTCTCTCTTTTGAGATATGGTTTCACTATGTAACCCTGGCTTACCTGGAACTCTCTATGTAGACCAGGCTACCCTCAAACTAACAGAGATCTACCTGCTTCTGCTTCCTGAGTGCTGGGATTAAAGGTGTACACCACCATGATTGGCAAGTTGTTGTTTAAGATTTTACTTATTTTTATTTTGTGTGTATACATGTTTTGCTTATGTGTATATGTGTGCAGCATATGCCTTCTTGGTGCACAAGGAAGCCAGAAAAGGGTGCCCCATCTCCTGGAACTGGAATTATAGACAATTTTGAGCTGCCATGTGGGTGCTGGGAATTGAACCTGGATCCTTTGCAGTAGCAACAAGTGCTTTTAACTTTGTTTTTTGCTATGTTGTCCAGGCTAGTCTTCAATTTGTGGTCTCACTGATCATTTTGCCTCAGCCTCCCAAGTAGCTGGAGCTACTAGTACACACTGCCATACAGGCCTAGCTATAACCACTTTTTTTGAGATGGGGTTGTGTGGTATAACTGGATAGTCTCAAACTCCAATGATCCTCCTGCTTAATCTCTTGAGTACTAGGATTTTATTTTATTAGTTTATGGTTTGTGTGTGTGTGTGTGTGTGTGAGAGAGAGAGAGAGAGAGAGAGAGAGATTGATAGAGAGATTGATTGATTGATTGTAGAGGTCAGGGGATAACTTGCAGGAGTCGGTTTTCTCCTGCAATGTGGATTCCAGCAATTGAACTCAGTTCGCCAGTCTTGGCAGCAAGCACCTTTACCCTCTGAGCCATCTGCTGGGACACCCAGCCCTTTTTCTATTTTTCATTTTAGGACAGGCCTTGAACTCTAGATCTTCCTGCTTCAGCTTCTTGAGCAGCTAGGATTACAGGTCTATACCGGGAGGCCCAGCCTGTCATTTGTTGTTGGTGGTGGGTTTTTTTTTTTTTTTTTTTTTTTTTTTTTTTTTTGTTATTGTTTTGTTATCTAGTTCTTTGTACATCTTCTTATGAGGTTATGTTCATATACTTGCTTCATAAAAAAATACATGTATATTGCTTTTTGTGCTGTGTGCTAGGAACACAAAGAAGTAATGCTCTCCATTATTTACTTATTTACTGTGTCTGGATTATACCTTTCTTCATGCTTGAAGATTAACAGAGAGAATGCTCCCTCAAATTTCTGTTCCATAATTCATGTTTCTATAATTTATCAGATTATGTTTAAATTCCAAATAATATATTGGCTTGATTATAGTTATTTTAATCATATTGATAATCAGTTTCATTGTTACTCCATCTTTAATTCATAAATAGGTTGAATCATTTATTTTGGACCAAGAAGATTTGGATAACCCAGTCCTTAAAACATCAGAGATATTCTTATCAAGCACTGCAGAAGGAGCAGATTTACGTACTGTGGATCCAGAGACACAAGCAAGACTGGAAGCTTTGCTAGAAGCAGCAGGTACTCTATTGATTCATCTCTTTAAAAGTCTAGATTGCTCTAAAACGCTCTATAAGATTATCTCAATATATACCAGTATCCCAAATTTACAATCTGTATAAAATTTATTTTTTAAATTAAAAAAAATATTTTTATTTTATGTGTATGGGTGTATTGCCTGCATGTAGGTAAGTGCACCTGTGTTGTGCAG